TCTCTCTCTCTCTCTCTCTCTCTCTCTCTCTCTCTCTCTCTCTCTCTCTCTCTCTCCCTCTCTCTCTCTCTTCCTTTTCCTGCCTCCTGAGTGCTGGGATTAAAGGAGTGTGCCACCATGCCTGGATTAGGTTTTATTGGCTGGGGAGATGGGTCAGTGGGTAAGAGTTTTGTTTGTACAAACACAAGGGCCTGAATTCAGGCTTTCATTACCCACAGAAAAAGCCAAGAATGGCTTTCCTTACCCCCCTTTTATTTCAGGTCTACATGGGACACAGAAAAGAGGCTTCCTAGGGCTTTTTGGTCACTAGTCTGTTCAGAGACACTGTCTCACACAACAACAACAACAACAACAACAACAATAATAATAATAATAATAGAAGATGATGGTTATAAAAGCAAAGGGTTCGCACATATTACAGGAAGCATCCAAATCATTTAGGATTAACAGCTTCTCCTAATTCAAATCCATCAAACTTATTCTTAAATTTTTATTGGGTATTTTATTTACATTTCAAATGTTATCCCTTTTCCCCATTCCCCCCCCCCAAATTTCCCCACACTGGGGCATTCAGCCTTCACAGCACTAAGGACTTCCTCTCCTACCTGTGTCCAACAAGGCCATCCTCCCATACATATGCAGCTGGAGCCTCAGGTCCCTCCCTGTGTGCTCCCAGGCTGGTGGTTTAGACTCTGGGAACTCTGGTTGGTTGGTATGGTTGCTCTCCCCATGGGGCCTCAAACCCCTTCAGCTCTTTCAGTCTTCTCTCTAACTCCTCATTGGGAATCCCACGAACAGTTCAATGGTTAGCTGTGAGAGTCTACCTCTGTACATGTCAGGCTCTGGCAGACCTCTAAGGACACAGCTTTATCAGGCTCCTGTCAGCATGTACTTCCTGGCATCCACATCAACTTCTGCCTTTGGTGACTGCACATGGGCTGGATACCCACATGGACCAGTCTACGGACAACCCCTCCTTCAGTTTCTGTCCCACATTTTGTCTCCATATTTGCTCCCATAAGTATTTTGTTACTCCTTCTAAGAAGGACGGAAGCACCCACACTTGAGTCTTCCTTCTTCATGAGCTTCATGTGGTCTGTGAGTTGTATCTTGGGTATTGTACACTTTTGGGCTAATATCCAATTATCAGTGAGTGGATACCATGTGTGTTCTTTTGTGATTGGGTTACCTCACTCAGGATGATATTTTCTAGTTCCATCCATTTACCTAAGAATTTCATGAACTCATTATTTTTAATAGCTGAGTAGTACTCCATTGTGTAAATGTACCCCATTTTCTGTATCCATTCCTCTGTTGGAGGACATCTGGGTTCTTTCCAGACATCAGACAGTGTCCTTTGGTGATGGGTCAGGAGGATATGGTGTCTTCAGGGGAGCAGACCAGCTAGGAGTCTGCCCCAGCAGAAAGGACCAAGAGTGTGGCAGAAGGGGGGAGTGGTATTCTGCAGGGTGATGGATCCTGAGTGCCCCAGACTTTTGGCCTCAGCTATGGGGCATAGGGTTGTGGATGAAGGTTATTATCTGCTGCTCTGAGTACAGTGGTTCCTCTAGGATGGGGGTATGGTGTCTTCAGGGGAGCAGACCAGCTAGGAGTCTGCCCCAGCAGAAAGGACCAAGAGCGCAGCAGAAGGTATTCTTAATTTTTTATTCTTTGAGAATTTTGTTTAATGTGTTTTTGTTTACTCATTCCCCAAATACCCAGATCCACCTGATCAATCCTTATCCACCCAATTTTGTGTCTTTAAAAAAAAATCAAGACCAATTGTACGGTCTTTATCTTGTAGATGAGGACCTAAATCCAATTAGAGAGTGTTGGTTACTCCTATGATGTTTGTGACACTATTGTGCTAGTGAGCACAATAATTATTGTAGTTTGCATGGTTCAAAGCTGGGTATAATTGACTATTTTTCTCCTCTGACTGCATGCATAGTTTTTTCCAGAACTATAAAGGCTTTCCAGTAGGAATCAAGCTTTTAGGTTAATACTAGTTTTGTTTCTCCATGTTCTATGACTCAAAAATGTATTGTCTTCAGTAGTAGTGTCTTACTTTCAAGCTCTGGAAGGCAATCATGAGCAATGGCAGTAGCCTGTAATATTTGGGGGTATATAGGACTTTGTTGTCCAATGCTTTTCTTATTAGCTAAATAATACCCTATTCTGTAAATATACTACATTTTCATGTGGTGACCATCTAGTCTTTTTCCATTTCTTGGCTATTTTGAACACGGAGCATGAGTGAACAGGTATCTCTAGAGTAGAATATAGAGTCCTATGGATAAATGCCAAAGAGTGGTAGAGTTGGACCAAGTAGTGAATCTACTTTTAGATTTTTGAGGAACCTCCACATGGATTTTCATTGTAATTACATCAGAGTTTGCTCCATCAGTGACTAAGTGTCCCCTTTCCCAAAATTCATGGCATCACTTGCTGTCTTTTTTTTTTTTTGACATTAGTCATCCTGACTAGGATGAAATAAAATAGTATTAATTTGCACTTCCCTGATTACTAAGCATGGTGAACATTTTTAAAAAAATCTTCCTTAGTTATTTGTATTTTATCTTTTGAAGACTTAGAACTGGGTTGTTTGTTCATTGATGTATATATTTTTTTTTTTGAAATCTGGGTATAGTCTAGATAGTAAACCTCTGTCTGATATACAGTTGTTAAAGCTATTTTTCTCATGCTGTAGCCTGAGTGATGGTATACTTTTTTGTGCAAAACCTTTTTAGTCTCATGAGGTCTCATTCATTAATTGTTGGTTTTAATAACCTACACTATTGGGGCCTCTTTCAGAAAGTCTTTTCCTGTGCCAATGAATGCAAGCATATTGCCCCCTTTCTTTTCTATCTGCTTCAGAGTATCATGGTTTTTTTGTTTTGTTTTGTTTTGTTTTTTGTTTTTGTTTTTTTGCTGAGGTTCTTGATCATTTGGAGTTGAGTTTTGGGTAGGGCTAAGTACGTTTCATTATTCTACACATAGTTATGCATCTGAAGCAACGTTTGTTGAAGGTACTATTTTTTCTTTAACACATATGGCTAGCTTCCTTTTCAAAAATCAAGTGGCTATAGACATGAGAGTTTCTATGTAGGTAATTAATTCTATTCTATTGATCAGTGGGTCTGGTTTTATGCTAGTACCATATTGTTTTCACTACCACAACTTTGGAATATAACAAGATCTGGAATGGTGAAATCTCTAGCAATTTTTTTTGTTGATCAGGATTGTTTTGGCTATCCTGGATATTTTGTATTTAATTATGAAATTTAAATTATTTTTTTCTATTTCTATAAAGAACCACACTGGAAATTGGATGCGGATTGTACTGAGTCCGTAGATGGTTTTTGGTAGGATGGCATATCACAATATTAATTCTAACAATACATGAACATGGGAGGTTTTCTAATCTTCTTGCATCTTCTTCAATTTCTTTCCTTCAGTGCCTTAATATTTACATTTACACATATCTCTTTCTTGGTTAAATTTCTAAAATATTTTATTTTGAAGCTATTATGTAAGGTATTTTTTCCATGATTTCTTTCTCAG